ACACGTTCTATTTGAAATCATAACAGAAGTTGCTTAACTACGTGCTTATGAACTTAATATGGTGTACTCAGGTTTCAGGACATGTTGCTAAATTTTTGTGAACTCACTGCTAAAATGTTGATTTTGCTGAAGTTTCTATATCTATAATAGTGTTATGATACCACAGCACAACGTAGCAAGCCTGTAGTTCTTCAAATATTACTAAAACTTCAGACTCCTTGTTGTCATCTATCTCTCTGACCTAGATGGATGGTTGAGAGTGAGAAAAGGACATTCTAGGCTGGAGGTAGGCCTGACTAGGCTGGTGAAGCCCTGGTAGAAGCTTAGAGGTGAAGATGATTAAGGGAGCAACAGCTGGTATTTTCCCACATCATTACAGTTGTGCTTTTAAAGCTGTAGCGAGGTTTCGGCAGAATCTCATCTGCCATCATCAGGCTTGTGTATTGTGTTCGTCTGTGAGGCTCACAGACGAACACAATACAGAAGCCTGATGATGGCAGATGAAATCCTGCCAAAACCTCGCTACAGCTTTAAAAGCACAAGTACACTGCTCAAAAAAATAAAGGGAACACTTAAACAACACAATGTAACTCCAAGTCAATCATACTTCTGTGAAATCAAACTGTCCACTTAGGTAGCAACACTGATTGACAATCAATTTCATACGCTGTTGTGCAAATGGAATAGACAACAGGTGGAAAGCACAGGCAGTTAGCACGACATCCCCAATAAAGGAGTGGTTCTGCAGGTGGTGACCACAGACCACTTCTCAGTTCCTATGCTTTCTGGCTGATGGTTTAGTCACTTGAATGCTGGCGGTGCTTTCACTCTAGTGGCAGCATGAGACGGAGTCTACAACCCACACAAGTGGCTCAGGTAGTGCAGCTCATCCAGGATGGCACATCAATGCGAGCTGTGGCAAGAAGGTTTGCTTTGTCTGTTAGCATAGTGTCCAGAGCATGGAGGCGCTACCAGGAGACAGGCCAATACATCAGGAGACGTGGAGGAGGCCGTAGGAGGGCAACATCAGGACCGCTACCTTCACCTTTGTGGAAGGAGGGACAGGAGGAGCACTGCCAGAGCTCTGCAAAATGACCTCCAGCAGGCCACAAATGTGCATGTGGCTGCTCAAACGGTCAGAAACAGACTCCATGAGGGTGGTACGAGGGCCCGATGTCCACAGGTGGGGGGGGTTGTGCTTACAGCCCAACACCGTGCAGGACGTTTGGCATTTGCCAGAGAACACCAAGATTGGCAAATTCGCCACTGGCACCCTGTGCTCTTCACAGATGAAAGCAGGTTCACACTAAGCACATGTGACAGTCGTGACAGGGTCTGGAGATGCCATGGAGAACGTTCTGCTGCCTGTAACATCCTCCAGCATGACCGGTTTGGCAGTGGGTCAGTAATGATGTGGGGTGGGATTTCTTTAGGGGGCCGCAGCTTCATGAGTAGCATTCATGGTCAGATGCAATTCAAGGTACTGGTGGTCACCTTTAAAATCCTTCCTAGCTTGAGTTCAGTTACCTTCTCCTTGTCATTTCTACCCTTTGCAATCCATGTTCCAGGTCCCATCAGCCAAGGGAATGTCAGCTGATAGAGACTAGGAGCTGTGCCTTTTCTGCGATAGTGCCTGCCCTCTGGAACATTCTCCTTTTAAAGATTAGGATGGCCAAACTCTGCAGGCCTGAAGGCCTTGAAAAACCTGATTATGTGAGGGTCTGGGGTCCCAAGTGAATGAACCCTGGTTTCTGGTTAACATCTATGAATTATAATATTTCTTGACATACATACATACATACATACATACATACATACATATACATACGTGTATGTGTGTGTGTGTGTTTGCTGCCCAGCTTAAAGCTTGTTTGAGATGGGGGGGGCATACAAATTAAATGAATGAGTGAATGGATAAATGAATGCAATCTAAGCTGTGGTATTTTATACCCATTTCTTTTGTGCCAGAGATATCTGGCTGAGTAGATTGTGAAACCTTTCGCCCAGGTGTAGCTTTTAAACTCTAGAGCAGGAGTGTGCATCGCGCACTGGCCATGCCTGGTTTAGCGAAGTGGGGAAAGTCCCGATATGTCACATGACGACACTCCTGCTCTAGAGTGCAAAATCTACTATAGTTGTAAAACACATTTTCTCAATTCACCACCATTATCAAAATCCTGTCTTCAAAGGTCACATCAATACCTAAAGATCCTTGCCAAATATAAATATACTGTAGATTTAGGAATGCAGCACTATTAGTTACAGCCAAAAAGGCAGCAATTTTCATAAATGAAAAATGAATGAATAAATGAAAAAACCCTCAATCTTTCTCTTCATATTGGAATGCAAACACACTATTGACATTACCAAAAATTCAAATAACTTCTTATAAACACATTGATTCAACTCACACTGGTTCTCATGCCCAGAGATTACATGTCTGACTATATATGAAGACCCCAGTATTCCTACTTGAAAGCATGGGAATGACTGAAATACTCCATTACTTCATTTCATACAAAGAAAATTCCCCATTTTAAGGCTGCAGCAGAAAAAGGCATGGTGTTTTCCACGCAAAGTCACAAGGAAACTTTTACAAAAGTTGCAATGGAAACTTTTCTAGAGCAAGAGAAATGAGGATACCAGAATAAAATATTCGGAGGAAAACAGGGTAGAGAAATTATAAATACCATGTGAAGAATACTACCAAAGTAATTCAATATATGGTTATTAAACTGTCGGGATGACTCAGAGGTGATTCAGGATATAAGTAATTAGGAATAGATGCAAGAAATCTCTTTTTATAATTAATTAAATTTTTGATTGTTCAAAATTTGTACTGAAAAAAGCTTAATCAAAGTGTGTTTTTTATAACTTCCTCCCTGTTCTGGTCAAAACTGACATTTAAATATTTAAATGAAAGCAGAAATCATTGGTAACTTGGTGATACATTTGTGAAATACTTGATTGTTTCTCCCTATCAGGAGATATATTTCATTTCATGAAAGAAATGAAGAAAATGTAACAAATGAACATGAGCAACCTTGAGAAATCTGCCTTTCCATTTCTCACAGGAACATTTGCCAGACTAACCATGAGTGAGAGAATGCATGCTTGTATTGTCAGTGAAAAACCATGTCTTATGTGTTTCCATGTGTACATGAACTATGAAGCAGAATCCTTTGCAACATTCAGGTCTTCCAGAATGGAAGCTTTGGGTGGTCCAGAAATTAAGTGGATGTAGAAGCAATTTCTGGAAGGCAGGAAGTTTAAAAACCGTAATATTAAATTAAGAGAAAATTAGCAACCACTTGGGATGAAATCAAGGTTAATAAATTCTAGGATTACAACCAAATTCCTAATAAAACTGGGTCACAGTCCAGCTGGAATTCTGCTTGCAGAGTCTCTTTCACAATCCAGCTAGATTAAGAAACAGTTCCAGGAAATCTTACAAGACATGAAAACTAAAGAGAGATACCTTAAACTAACTAAAAGGGATTTTAGCTACTTTTATCTAGTCCGGAGGTCCCCAAACTTGGCAACTTTAAGACTTATGGACTTCCAGAATTCTCCAGCCAACTCCCAGAGAATTCTGGGAGTTAAGTCTACAAGTCTTAAAGTTGCCAAGTTGGGGATCCCTGATCTAGTCCCTTGCACATGTATTATAGATGCAAGAAGGAACAGCTAACTGTAGTTTCCATAGGTTTTTGTGTTTGATGAAACTATACAGGCAGTCCTCGACGTACGACCACAATTGAGCCCAAAATTTCTACTGCTACGTGAGACAGATGTTGAGTGAGTTTTGCCCCACTTTATGACTTTTCTTGCCATAGTTGTTAAGTAAATCACTACAGTTGTTAAATTAGTAACACGGTGGTTAAGTAAATCTGGTGTCCCCATTGACTTTGCTTGTCAGAAGGTCGCAAAAGCGGATCACATGACCCCGGAACACTGCAAACGTCATAAAGATGAGTCGGTTGCCAAGTGTTTGGATTTTGATGACGTGACCCATGGGGATGCTGAAACAGTCGCAAGTGTGAAAAACAGAAATAAGTCACTTGTTTCAGTGTCTTTGTAACTTCAAACTAGCAGTTCACTAAATCAACTGTTGTAAGCCGATGTATGTAAAACAACTTTCCAGAAGTTGGAAACTACAGGTAGATCTTGCTCAACAAATCTTTGATTAGGCTCTAGAATTCAGTATTGAACCTGTCCACTTCCTCAAGGTCAACTAACGCAGTTCCCAAATAATTTCCCCTCAGCACCTCTATCAACTCTGTCCAACTAGCTTCCAGCTCTGACTGAATATCAGTGGTTTTATTCTGCCATTAAAATTTCCAAATTTGTCTGAAATGGTACAGTATAGGTTCTCCTGCTTCAGCAGGGGGCTGGACTAGAAGACCTCCAAGGTGCCTTCCAGTTCTATTCTATTCCTATTCCTTTCCATTCCAATTTTATCACAGTGGCCAGCCAACGTTCTTCCAGGATTATAAACTTATTCCCTATAACCTGGATTAGAAACATTAAACCACAATGGAGCAGGATGCTATTCAGGAAAAATCTTATTATGTGTTCTCTATGGTCCTGCATTCCAGGTACTCAATCAAGTTACTTGCTACTCCATTGAGAAAATCATAAATGCTCTATGAAAACTAGCTGGTCACATCAGGGACCTGGGGAAAACCAAGTATTTCATCTCTGTAGAAAACAGTGGCTCAGAAAGACTGCTCTGACCACAAGACTGCTGGCAATATACTCCACTTTCAGCTGACAATCCACCTGGTTTTAAGATAAAAACCAGATCTAGTGCATCCTACGTAAGACAAGTCCATGATGATCTGGAACAAGCCCATGGTTGTCATTGTGCCTATGAAATATTTAATTACCTCTGACTCAGTCCTCTTTACAGCAATTTGCCTAACTTCCTGTAGCAATGGTTTTTGCACAGGTGCGTAAACGGCTGTCAAAGGTACTACACCACATTCTGTGTTTATACTTACCAACGTGATTTCTCCTAATCCAAGCTGAGCCCGCCCCAACGTTTGCCATGCTTCCCAAGAACGGGGATCTCTCTGGACAGCCATCTCTGCTGCCTGCACGGCAGGAAACATTTCATGTAGAGACATCAGAACCTAAAGAGAAAGAGGAGGCAGGGGAAGAGAAAGACTTAAATCAGGTTCAGACACCGTTTTTCTTCTTTTATTTATTCAAGTTTCAAAGCTTCCCAACAATTTTGGATGAGTTACAAATTTTTAAAAAAATGAGGAAGAAAATGGCCAACCAGAAGAATATATCTTGTATAGCAACCGGGGAGATTAATAGCAGAATGATCTAAAATTCTAGGTGAAAAGGTAGTGAGAAAAATAACAGGAGACCCTGAGAGTGTTTTAAGATTCATAAAATGAAAAACTGTCAATTTAAATCTGAAGTTTAAAATATATGTAATAGCAGTAACACTTAGATGTATATAGTGCTCCATAGTGCTTTACAGCATTCTCTGAACGGTTTACAATGTCAGCCTATTGCCCCCAACAATCTGGGTCTTCATTTTACTGACCTCAGAAGGATGGAAGGCTGAGTCAACCTTGAACTGGTCAGGATCAAACTGCAGGCTGTAGGCAGAGTCAGCCTGCAATACTACATTCTAACCACTACACCACCACAGCTCCGAATGCTTCACCTTTTTAAAAGTGAGCTGAATTAAGAGTGATATCATCATCATCATCATCATTTTAGCCATTGTCTATCCACTGGAGGATGAAGGCCTCTTCCACATGTTTCTAACCATTATGGTCCTGAGCTCTTTTTTTTTTTTTTTGCCAATTGGGGCCATAATACTGGCTGATGTCTACTTAACGCTGTCTTAAAATTTATGAAGCAAAACTATACTAACTGCTTTCTATCTGAACACTGAATTTGTACATGTTTTGATCAAGAAATGTATCAGTATTGTGCAGTCACTTGTTCCAGTATTACAGACAATACAAAAATTCTAGTACCAGAAGGTTGTTCTAGGCATTTCATGCCTGGCTCTAGAAACACCATTTTTTTTAATTTCATGGAAATAGCCAACAAAGAGATTAGTTTTGATTTTAAGCGATTTCAAACGTGTATCGTTTGTTGAATTGATCAGCTTTCAAATTATGACTGTTAGCATCTGGATGGATCCATTTCCAACTTGCACAAAAGTATATTGATCCATCAGCAACCAGCACGTTTTATTTCTGTTTTCTTTAAAAAGGACCAAACAAACAAACAAACAAAAAAGAATCAGATGCAAATTCTGTTTGTTCTCATCTCATCCCAAAATCAAGTAGAAAGATCTGGACATATGCTTGGAATGCTTGAGGCTTGCAAAGCATGTGGCTTGGCAAATCTCATCTCTCCTGAGTCATTAATGTGTATTAATTCTTCTCATGTGACATTGGGAAATGGGAACAAATGGAAACAATTACAGGATGCTGCTGGTTGTAAAAATGCAATGTGGGAAGCTCCTTCCAGTCCTTTGTTTGTACACCATCCGGATTAGAACAATAAATTCGAATTGCCCACCTATGCATTGTACCCACGGTGGAAATTACGAACAGCATCTGTAATAATAAACTCTCTTCAGGTCCTTCACCTTTCGTTGCTGGTTGTTCCCTCCATGACACAGACGCTACTGTTGACACAGAGTGTTTCATTTTAATCTTTCACACAACAGCTGGTGGATTTAAGTTTGCCCACTAATGAGAGACAACTCGCTGAGTTCACTATTTGACTTTCAAAGTACTACTGGGTTAACAATAGAGCCCGCCCTGTATGAAGAAAAGAGCCATTGCACAATTCCTCTTAGGGATATGCAAATATATACATGCTTTATTTAAAAAAAAAAAACCTCCCTAACATTATGGCCAACTTAAACGTTTCTATGAGTCATTTATAGAGCACTTATCAAAATAGGGAGAATCCCAGAGACTTTTTTTTTTAAATTTTTACAAAAATAACCTAGGAGTCAGGCATGGAGTGGTGAAAAAGACAGAACAGTCACGTAGAATGTGTGTTGTGCACTTCTTTGGACCGCAGCCATAAGCATCCTAATTTAAATGCAAACTGGCTTTTGATGTTCCAAAGCAACAACGTGGAACAAACACAAATTGCCTTCTTTCTAGTATAGCATTCAAAAGGCTATAAATGGATATATAAATACATGGTAGTCCTTGACTTACAACAGTTCGCTTAGTGATCGTTCAAAGTTACAATGGCACTGAAAAATGAGACTTTAGGGCCGTTTTTTTCACAGTTACAACCTTTGTAGTGTCCCCCATGATCACGTGATCAAAATTCAAATGCCTGCCAACCGGTTCAGACCGGTTGGGGGCTTAATTAGGGTTTATTTTGGGAGGTAGGGCTTATATTGGGTGCACATTTAAATATCAAGCTAGGACTTATTTTTAGGGTAGGTCGTATTGTCAGGGAAACAGAGTATTACAAAGAAACAATCCAAGTATTACCTGTGATTTCATCTCATACAGAGTGGCATCTTCAGGGGTTAACTGAAGTGCTTCGTCCCATTTGTGAAGAGCTTCCTGGTACCTGCAAGTTGTTAAGAAGTAATTTATTCTTAATAAATGTATGAATATTTTAAAGGTTGGCACCTTGAACATTGTGCCAAATGTGTTTTTAACTGTGATACATTTGCAGCGATGTCTCCTAAAGCAATGTTCCTCAGCCTTAGTAATTTTAAGATGCCTGGACTTCAACTCCTAAACAGCTAGGAAATTCTGGGAATTGAAGTCCAGACATCTTAAAATTACTAAGGCTGAGGAACAATGTCCTAAAGAGTACAAGTTTGTTGCATAAATTCATTAATAGGCGCTTTTTTTCTCCACTCCCATTCTTGTCAGAGAAATCTAAACCAACACTTCCTTCTAGTGCTGAAATATAATCAGATGTTTTTGCAGCAAGCCCTGAGGATCTAAAGCCTTAGATGCATATTAGATGTACGGTCCACATCATGTATATATGCACAGCCATTCTATGAGCTGTACTTTTGCTTATCCCAGAGCTTTAGTTTTTCCTAACTTGCAAAAAAATAATTAACAAAGAAATATTCATTTAACATGCAGTTAAATCTGAAGCTAAGCATTACATGTTCAGAACGGTGAGTGTGGACCTGTGTGATATCTGCCATAAAGAGAGGAGTCCTGAGAGTTGAATAGCTTTACTGTAAACTCTGAAGTCCCTACCCAAAAGGTACAAGAAGTGGTAGGATCTGTACATGGGAAAATATGTTGTCCGGGAAAATAATAATTCAACTAAATTCCCTAGCTTCAAGCCATAAGATTAAACAGAAGACTGATGACTTAGCATTCTTCATAACTTGGCAACAAATATATGCTTCGGTAATACTGCAATATCTTTAAATTTTGAAAGCATTCCTCACAACTTTCTGCTGCAGTAGTAAATCAAATTTATTTATAGTATTATTTTAACATTCTAAGAACATCATTTATTTTAAAACAAACCTCTAACATGAGTGATAACGCACTTCAATAATAGTGTTTTTTGAAATGGATTTTCTGTTTCTTTAAAAAAACAGTTTATTTTTAATAAGCAATATAACTTTTTTAGTTTTAACTCCTTGCTTATCTTACATGAGCTGTGTTAAATGTCTAAATGTGATCTCAGTGATTTTTTAAAAATACAAATACATAGGACCTAGGGGAAATACTGTACAGTCATAAAGTTTTTTTTTAAAAAAGATAAACTATTATAGATAATGTTTCATTCAAAGTATCTGAGGGACAAAAAAAGAAGTAATAAAAGTATTAATCTCAATGGCCAAAAAACCCCCACAAACCATTACTAAAGTAACAGTTAAGCCTTCTGGACTTTATACTGTCAGCAAAACAGGAAGATCGTCTTTTCTGGAGAGAAAAACATTCCTCCATGTGCAAAATATGAACTGTTCAATGAACCATTTTTTAAAAAAATTATCAGTGGAAAAACATTTGTGCAAGAATATCTTTTGCACGTTATCTGAGGACGGCACCGTGAAGGTGAACCTATGGCACGCGAGCCAGAAGTGGCACGCAGAGCCATTTCTGCCGGCACGTGAGCCATCGCCCCAGATCAGGTGCACTGCGCATGCGCCTCCCGCCAGCCGATTGTCAGGTATCTGCTGTACATACATGAGGAGCATGCATGTGAGATGCACGGTGGGGGTCGTGCATGCATGTGCAGAGGTGCATGTGGGGGTGTTGTGCGTGCATGCGCAGGGGGCAGGGGTGTTGCACACGCAGTGCATTATGGATGCACGCGAGGACGAAAAGGTTAGCCATCACTGCACTAGAAGCTCATCAGCCTTTCCCAGTTGTGATCCAAAAATGAATTGGAATTGGAAATTGACAGAATTCTTATCCAGCATGGGTGCTGATCTCCCATAAATATAGAAGGTGGCAAACAAAGGTAAACTGATCTAGATCCTCAAAATCCAGAAGCAAAGCAAAGACCTCTATCAGTGGAAATAGTAAGCATAAAAAGACGGTCACTTCCCGTCTTGATTATTGCAACGCGCTCTACATGGGGCTGCTCTTGAAGAGCATCCGGAAGCTCCAGTTGGTGCAAAATGCAACGGCCCACATGGTTTTATGCAGACCCCGTTGTGCACATGTATCACCTCTCCTGCAGGAGCTGCATTGGCTGCCAATTCGCTTCCGGGTTCAATTCAAGGTGCTGGTTGTCACCTTTAAAGCCCTTCATGGCTTGGGTCTGGGTTATCTGAGGAAACATCTCTTGCCAGTGACATCTACCCAACCCTCCAGAGCGGGGAGGGAGGGAATGCTGCAGGTCCCACCCCTGAAGGAGATACACCTGGTGGGACCCAGAAGAAGGGCTTTCTCTGAGGTGGCTCCATCTCTCTGGAACATCATTCCCCCAGAGATTAGAATGGTCCTCTCATTAATACTATTCCGAAAGGCACTGAAGACCTGGTTTTGCCAGCGGGCCTGGGGAACCCAGAGAAGGATGGAACCCATCAGTTGGCTAGTGTGACCCACTGTCGTTGGGGTGGGAGGGGTGGGAGTTGGTTTTTGTTTTGTTTTGTTTTTTGTTTTCCCAAATTTTGTTCTATTGTACTTTACTAATTTCTTTGATTCTTGTTGTTATTTCTTATTGTTTTTATTTTTTTGTTTTAAATATGATTTTACATTGTGTAAGCCACCTTGAGTCGCCATGGGCGAATAGGCAGCAATATAAATCAAATCAAATCAAATCAAATCAAAATCAAATCAAATCAATGAATGAATGAAAAATAAATAAAATACTTTCCACTTTTTGCAACCTCTTCAATTTCCTTTCTTGCTCTCTTCACTGAGCCAGCACAGCCTGAACTGTGGACACATAGATATAGTGTTCAGGCTGCCAGAACATGTAGAAGGAGTTCTGATTCTTACTGTGTTGCTTCATAAAATGTTGGCAAATCATAGTTTATTCTCAGCCCTTCTGTATACATTTTTCACCTGGGTATTTTGCATGCACACCAACAAAGCACCCAGATGGGAGAAGGATCTGTGATGTACATTTAAGGTAGGGCATTTAGTTTAAAAACAGATGCTAGGCACTTGGAGCACTTGGATTCTCTTATGTCATTTGAGGCAAGTGTTAGTCACAATTAACATAAAACAAATAGTCCTCATCTCTATTACTCATCAAGCTGAACATCAGGTCCTTTAAATCGAAAGCAACCATTTATGGAACCTGAAGGAACAGATTGAAACAAATCTCCCTACAGAAAGTCTATCTATGTGGTTCGGAGTTGACACTATGACGCTATGCAATCATTACTATGATGGAAATACACTGCTTAATATGGACTGGGTTGACATTGCCACTTTGCTGGTAACATCAAGGGAAGCCAGGCTTAAACCCTTGAATTTATTTTGTAAAAAAGCAGCATGAGAACAGTATAGAAAGAACATGAACTGCCCTTTTTCCTTACATTAAAAAGAACAGGAAAATAAGATTTCCTTCTGAATAAGATACAATTGCCACCTTTACTAGCAAACTGGTTTAGAAAATTAGATGTCTAAAAAAGACTGTAATAGCTAGTTTAATTTTAAAACTTTAAATGTGAACAACTTGTTCATTAAAAATCTGTATGGATAAAGAAGTACTGGGTGTGAACAAAGGTCAAAACTGCTAGGAAGAGAGTCATGCTACTTCCACCAAAAAGAAAGAGCCTGCTGTGTCCATATTATTTGCTCTTTTGACAATTAATTCATTTGTTCTTGTGGTTCTGGTCTGGTTGTCTTTCATGTTAATGCAGGGGTCCCCAACCACCGGGCCCCGGACCGGTACCGGTCCGTGGATCATTTTGTACCGGGCCGCCTACTTTGCTTGGGCGCCGCCATGTTGTTTCGACGGCGCTTGAGAAAGTGCTTCCAGCTTGATCTTGTCGGTTGGAAAGCAGCGTTTGGGTGCTGAAGGAATCCTCGCGCCTTAGTTTCATCGAAAGGGGGGGGGGCGGCTTCGAACGAAGAGCCGTCCCAATGGCGGTGGAGTCTCGCGTTACTCAGGAGGAGATTAAGAAAGAGCCCGAAAAGCCCATCAACCGCGAGAAGGTACAAAGGAGGAGTTGAAGGTGGCGGGGAGAAGCGGGGGACGGCTGGCTGGCCGGTCGCTCGGCTCGCCTTGCCTTGGTCGTGCGTGCTGATGCCGGTCCCGGTCCGTGGATCATTTTGTGATGCCGGTACCGGGCCGTGGTACAAAAAAGGTTGGGGACCACTGTGTTAATGTATTCATCTGCCTTCTTGCAACCTGTATCTACTGTTTGTTAAGATTCATGCTGGATATGTGCCCTGTGCTTTGTTCTTGATTTGAGCCTTTCCATGCACACATCTACACCCATATAAAAACTCCAGTTGCTCTCACCATTTCAAAGACTGCAAATGGCCATTTTCTGAGCCATGTAATCCTACACAGAAATTGTCCATTTCTACCGTATCTAAAATGTCTATGTAACATTATATGGCTTAGGAAAACGGCCATTTTCAGTCTTTTGAGTTTTACATTACTTTGTAAAATTAATTTTCTATCTAAAATTACATGATCACATCTTTGTAATTGCCACCACTCAACTGTTAAGTTAGCGAAGCCACAGATGGTCTCCTTTCTGGGGGTGACAATATGGCAATAACAGCTTGTTGTAAGCTTCTCCTTCAGAGTTTCAGGAGTTTGGTTTATTTCTCGGCAGTCTTTAATGTCTAGAGGGCTGGTGTATTTGAGTTTTGCCCCAGTGGGAGTCTAAGCTGGCTGGTGGTGGTCCTGTGGGAGAACTAACCATCAACTTGCAGCCTAGACAAGACACCCAGGGGAGCATAACCATCTTGTCTTTCTTTGGTCCTGATGTCTGGCTGTTCTGACCCAAACCTTGTTCCAAGTAAACAAACACTAAACCGAGATAAAAGCAAAACCTTTTCATGCTTCTCTGCGAATTCCGTTAATTCACGGTTAAAAGGCTATTAAAACTAATTGTCTCTGATAAGAACAAGCCTTGCCAAGGTTGTGCAAGGCTGCCAAAAGCACTAGATTAA